TTGAGGAAGACTTTGCATAGTTAATGGATATGTCTAATACCATCTTCAGTCATTTTCTACCATGAGAAGCACGAATACTGCACCCCATGCCAAGGACTATAAGCGGGCCACAAAAGCATAAAGGGAAGCTCAGCCACTAAACCTAACACTGCAACCAGCTGAATATACAAATAGTCAAGAAGCGGCTGTGCTTGGCTTGGATGTCTCTATTGCTGTGCTAGTTTCAATGATGAAATAGAGCAAGTGCTTCAGATACAGCAACGTAGGCACGCACAGCTCCCACTGATTGCAGTAGGAGCTACATGGGCATGCAGGAGAGGAGAAAGGAGCCCTTTGTGTTATATCAAACATTGGAGCATCCACCAGATGATCTACTTTTTAGTCACACTTTATCTCATGATCAGCTGTACTGGAATACTGAAGACATTGTCAATTGTTTAATGATGGAAAAATAAAGCTGCAGGCTGCAGTTGATGTTTACTAAGGTGTTGATGAGCTATTCATTTTATCAGGGCAGAAAGCACTGCAGAAGAAATGCTGGAAAATGTAATCAAATGTTGAAAAATATTTAATACTGTTTCTATGTCATTGCGGCTGTGTTTCTTCATTGGTACTTTGTGATAAATATACAGCATACACAGTAACTTAAAAGTGCGTGTACACATATGTACATGTAAACTCCTAAGAATTGTAATTTATATTTGGGCAGAAAGAACATTTACTGTTTTACAAAACTGGCTAATGCTAACCCTCAAAAGTAGTGTAAATGTTATGGTTTGCGTCAGATTCCCTGTGCTTACTAAAACATTGAGAACTGAATATGCAGGTATATTCCATACACTACAATAACATTAAAGAGAAAGGTGAAACTCAACCCTGTAAAAAAAGTTCTACTAATTCAGTTTTAAGAACCCCAAACAAAACAACAAACAGCCACTGTACTGGTGATGTGCTGAATTCCACAAAAGTTCAGCACCCAAAACAGTCTTCCAAGATCTGCTACTTATTCCTACCTTCTGCTCAGTCTCCTGAGAAACCACAGGCAACAAATAACACATTATCCACACAAGGACTTCAGTACAAAGTAACAATTTCAAACCTTCCACTTTCATTCTAAAATTAATAAATTAAACAAACCCAACCCAGAAATCATTCTCTTATATAATTACTGAGAAGACCCTGGGCCAGATCAGGAGCAGGGCAGAAAGGCTTCCAGATTAATTTCTGTCACTTTCAGTTTCTGTAGTCTTCAGGAGTTTATATTTGCTCACCCACAAAAATGTGTCTGATTTTACTGCTTCACTATATATACACTCAAAACTTTCCATTTGAAGGTTGCTTCCTTATGATACTGTAAGAAAACCTAGCCTACACAATTTTCTTCTTTGAGGAACCCAGGAATCACTGGTTCCTTTGGAAAAATGTTAATGTTCAGTATGAAAAGAAGATGCAACCGGAATGAAATGTATTGATTCTTTTCATACAGAGAGCAGTCTCTGCAAGCAACTAATATACTCTTTATATAAGGAAAATAAAGTTATATGGTTACAAAGAAATCACACATTCCAATTGGTTTTAAATAATGACAAGAAATCTCTGTCTTTGGCTATTTTGATTCTTCCTTGTCACGCATATGCTTGCTGGTAGGCTTAAACGGAAAACCTGCTTGCTAGGGTCTCTTTCTTTGAGGTTTTAAACATAGTGGAACCATCTACATCTGAATCAAAAGAGGTGAGAGACTGACCATTAAAAGAGCTGAATCTTCTAACACTCCTTTCAAACAAACAGGTAAATAACCACATAAAGCATGACGTAAAAAGAAATTAAATCTAAGCTCTCCTCTCCTGTAATAAAAACAACCAGAGGTAGAGTGGGATTTTTAAACCACTGCTCATGGTTGTTTCTTTTCTTCTATCACAGTTAAGAAACCTCTGTCCCTCCTTCTGAATATATATTCAGACACATTCAAATCTCTGCTTAAGCTAAAACATCATTAAAAGAGAACAGCATTAGTCTACCTATCAATTTGCCACAGCAGAGCATTTTCTGGCATTTGGCAAGTCATTCCTAGAGGACTTGTTCAACATATGGCCAAATGTTACATAGAAAGTAAACCAACATATGTTCAGCGTGATGGACAAAAAGAGGAGGGAAGCAGAAAGTATTGGTAAAAGTCAGTCTCTGGTAGTATTTGCTTCATTTTCCACAAAGGATTACGTCTAAAGATTCTCTGTCTTTGTCTTCAGCCCTATTGCATTTGTCTGTAATGCTAGGAGAACAGTTACATCTGCAGAGTCTGTAGCTTTCTCTTGAGCTTAAATCTCCTGATTAGTAAGCATTCACCGTAGAGTCAGTCAACAAGCATATCACACCTGCCTTTGCTTCCTCCCCAGCACATCGTTTGTACCTTAGCAAACACTTTCATGTTACTGATGCTGTGACTCACGCTTCATATGTAGCAAAAGCATATCATTGTGAAAGCTTTATTAACCAGCTTTTTTCAGTTTCTTCTCAAGAGAAAATTAAAATATTTTAATGGTAAAGCTCAGAGATTTAACAGCAACATATCTTTTAGGGTCAGATTTTCAAAACTTACACTGTTTTGCTTTTTCACAGTCACTTCTGGGACCAAAATGGCAATCAAGTTTGTGGAAACAGAGATAACCGGGCTTTAAAGTTCTGACACCTCCATAAGCCACCACAGCAGAGAAACAAGAGAACAGCAGTGAATCCTAAAGCTAAAAGCAAATCACTGCCAAACCAGAAAGGTCTGGGAATTGAGCTCAGCAATGTTTTCCTTCTGTTTCCTTATAACTGCAGGAAAAGATAAGCCAGGTGACAGGTTGGGGACAAAAGGAGCTTTTGCAGTTGGATGTCTCCTACCTGCCCAGGTAGCAATTTGAGTTTCTGATGGCAATGGGGAGAAAGTAGAGCCTGATTTGAGCCTATGGAGCTTTCACTCATGCTCCTAATCAAACTGAAGCCACATTGATTACTCACATACACAGTTACAATAAGAGAAAAGGATGGTTCTTTCTTCCAGGATTCTATCTGTTACCATCAGTAAAACAACTGAGTGCATGCCAGGCACCATTTTTTAATTGTCAAATATTGTCCTGTTAGTGGGTGAGGTCATTGAGAAACTGGAGATGCTGGAGAGATGACAACTTAGTAACAAAACCCCACAACACCCGTAGGCTAAACAAAGACGCTGAGAATGTGTTTTGAAAACGTAATCTTTTTTCCTTACACTTTCACAACTGGAACTACAAGGGGCTACAGCACAATCTGTGATCCAGCTAAGTATTAGAGGCTAGATGATAGTTGTGCTTCTATTCAACTGAAAGAGTCAAGCCATTAAAATCCTGAGGGTGCATTTTAATCTTAAGGTACAGCTGCAAGTCAAAAAAAAAGGGTATATGCACTCTTCTCTGCCTCTCCCACGCACCTCCGATTCCCACCAGGCAAGCACTGCTGCTCCCCCAAACCACTGGTGTCCCTTCAAAGGTGAGCTGAACATTTGCAATACTAACATGCAAATGCTGGGGGTGGTGACATGGAGGAAGAAGAGAAGTTAAGCCCTGAAGCTTTCAGTGACAAGTGGCTCAATAAGCCTAAACAGACTGTAGCCCAAGAAACACCAGGCCACGCTCCAAGATCACACTGAGACTACAACTAGATCTCTGACTTCTTTTCATCCATCTTAATGCCCTGCTGCTTCTCCAGGGTCATCAACATGTTGTAGCTCACAGTATGGTTACAGATACTCTCTGAAAGCCAGAAGAGAGGTGAGCTGCTTTGTTGTAAATGGATATATATTCTCATTTTTTAGCACTCAGTATTCAGTTCCTCAGTAATCAATGCTACCAGTTATCAAGCAACTGCATTACTAGCTGAGGAACTAATGTTGCAGGTTTCCTTTGGCTCTATTGATCAACGCTTTTTGGTTTGATCTTCAGACATCCACTCTCTATCTGGAAAGGCGTCTTGCAAAAAGCGAAACACATCAAGCCACAATCTTTATGAATTTTCTCCTGGAAAAGAATATTACATGCCCTCTGCAAGCATTTTACTTCAACTACTGACTATGCTGTTTACCCCTTAGAATTAAAAATTTGCATCTGAAGGAAGATACTCCTTCAGCTCATTCAGGAGATTTAGTTCAGTTGTAAAACCCTGCATGTTACTTTCACTGGTGGAAGTCAAAGAGCACACTCCTGACCTCATGCAAAACTGGATCAAGGATAGTCACACCAGCTTTGACCAGTCTAGCGTGTCTATGGCGAACAATGAAGAACCCTGAAGAGAGAGTTGTTTGCATCATAGAAGCAGAATATGTGTCCTAATTACAGCAGTAAAGGGCTATAGGAATGCTGCTATAGCTAACTTCTAAGGAGCAGTGTAAAACCAGATAAAACCATATTTTTTCTGGAGCTGCCTCATGACGAGCCAGCAGAAGGGTCTCTGCCTAGTGATTGATATGTAAAAAGCATCTCTAAAGGAGAAAGAATCTTCCTCTATAAAGGTTTCCATTTTAATCCCATTGAAACAGCAACTCCCAATTCCCTGCAGAGTTGTACCCTAGCTTTTGCTTACACAGACTCCAGCCACCAACAAGACAAGCCTTCCATTCTTGAACATGAAACTTTCAAACCTTACTGCTTTCAAACTCCCCGATACTGTGAGACAGAAGAAAGAAAACCCCACTCTCTCTCATGCCGAAGGTAACAAATCCTTTCCAATAGCAAGTTGTCACATCTATAACCACTGTCAGAAACTGCAGCTCTGCTCAAGGCAGCGTGGCCAACATAGCCAAGTGGCTCTAAAATTAAACAGGTGGAAGGGGACATTCCAGACCCAGGGAGCTGCTCTCCTCCTCGGGGCTCAGTCTGTGGAAAGCTGAAGGCACAAAGAAGGACAAAGCTTGCTACCTACTGTACATATACTCTTGCACTCCCCTGCACCTTCACCCAAAACCTGTTACATTTTCTCCCACCTACTTGAACATCACTAGCTCTCTGCAGCTGGAGCGTCATGACCTGCAGCTGGAGCATCGTGATCTGCAGCCAGGCTTCTGCAGGCTTCTGAGGTCTTCCCTTCATGACGTCCAGCCGGTGATGTCACAGTGCTCTGTGACCTTCAAACAGGAACACGGTCTCCCAGGGTGCTTTGGTCCGTTTACACTCATTGTTAGTCTTTGGTCAAAGCCACTGCATCTACAGTCCTATAACTGCTGAATGCCTATACAAAGCACAGATAGATTTCACACACTCCACGTTTACCTTGCAAAGAGGAGGGAGGCCAAAGCCTTCAGTACCTAATAATTTAAAAAACACTTTCAGATTCTAGATAAAAATGCTTTTAGCTAAAAGCATAGTTTCATAATTTGTATCTCAGGCTATCAGTATTAGGGCACAGATAATGGGATAAATCATGGTTTAAAATGGAACATACCAAGAGCTAAAGACACTTGATAATTGAACACGTCCTACCAGAAACTCTGTGGATTTTTCTGCCTAAGTCTTACTTCTTTCCAGTTGTACCTGGGCACTACTCAAAGCAGTTAGTAATGCAAGATAAAAATGCATGAGAATCAGATAATGATCCTAGAAACAAAATTATTATACCAATGTTTATTGTCATGATCATGAATAACCTTGGATTTTGGAGGACTTTGCTAAAAACCCTCCAAACCAATTATTTATTGTTTATCAGTTAGGGTGCATAGTCCCTACCAGCATAGAATGCTCCTGGCAGAGAACACTTGATAAACATGCTAGCAATATTAAAAGTACCATTTGAACATATCTTTGTGTAATTCAAACAAATAATTTCTCCACTTACAGTGTCGTATCTGATTGAGTTGTTCCTACTTCAGGAACAATTTTTTCTCATTTCAAAACAAATTATTGAGACATAATGGTCTCTGACTAAAGAGCTGTTCTGTAAGTTACTGCTTAAGCATCTCTCAAGTATACATATTTTGAGAAGCACAAATACATACACAGAGCACACGTGGAAAACTCCACCTCTCCTTATGTAATGGAAATTTTGCATGCTTTCTTTCTGCAAATGAAATTTCCTAGTTTCAAATTGCCCTTGAGGGTATCAAGTAATGTAATAAAATAACAAAGGTTTCTGCTGTTACAATGAAGGTCAATATACAGTGGACCATTTCTTTTGTCTCACTTTTCAAGATGATCAGAGCATTGAGGCGATAAGAGGGAAGCTAGTGCTTTTATGTGATGCAAAACCATCAAGCTGTATGTCCAGTCATTGCCTGGTGCTGCACTGCAGCTTCTGAAACAAATCCTTGCCTGTCCTCAATGACATTAGGAGAGCTCAGGGCCTGCTTCTATTTTAAAATGACAGAAGCATTTTCCCTTTAAGGTTGAAAATATTCTTGATCACAGTATCTGACGTTATCGTTTGGAAAGAATCATCATAGTTTATAATGGTATTCATTTATTAAACACATACATGTGGAAGTTAAATAAAGTGATAGGAAAAAAGTGTAAATAGTATGCATGGAGCCCACTGCGAATGCAGATGGAATTTCTACGGTTCACCTGACGCTTGTCTGATTTAATGAAGACAGTAAATTGCACAGGACAGTAACTGCATTCCACACTGCGTACACCACCACACAGCCGCAGCTACTGGGGGTAGGCATTCCCTTTCTTCCAGTGTTACAATATTCTCTCCGATTTAATCACCACATGGGATGTTGGAGAACAGTCTCTAGGATATGGGAGAAAGTCTGTAACATAAGCATACTAGCTAAACGGGTAAGAGGAAAATTACCAGGAAAAAAAATCGTATTTTCCTCACCCCTACACTCCCCTCACATAGAAGTTGAAGAATAGATGAACTCTTTGTCTGGTTGCTATGAAAACTAAGAGATGTAGCCTTACCTCAGAAGAAATGATGTTATGCTCACACAATGAATAAGAAATGAGAGCTGTATGGTCCTACCTCAGCAACACAAAGCTGAGTCAAAAGAGAGTCTTTCTAAAACCCAGGCATGTGTGGATTCTAATCAGCTCTGTTTATAACGTATGATCATAGTTAATTGTTCATTAATTCCACCATGTCATTTGTTCAGAGATTATACCCTCCACATAATGAATGTTTTGGGGTACTCTCCAGCAGAGGAAATTAAAATAGATAATAGCTGTGATTTTAAATCGTCTTCTTAGCAATCTTAGGTTTGAATCCAATGACCTTAAACAGTTTTTAAAATACTTCAGAACATCAAAAAAAAATGTCTATTCCTTGAAAAAGGAAATGCACATCTCTACATCAACGTGCCTGCGGAACTGATGTGTTTCTCTCTAGCACTGGGCCTCGCTGTGACAGCCATCTCCGTACAAAGCCTTCCCCTGCAGGGGATGGGATGGTGGAGGGCCTTGAACCTCCAGGCGTATAATTCACC